TATAACATTGAAAAAATATTGTAAATTTTTTGCATTGCTATTTACTATTATTCACGATTTAAAAAATTTTTGTTGCATTTATCATATTGAGTGGTGCTCGTGTCGGTTATCTTCATTTCTTGAACTTCGAATTTATTACTACATTTTTGGTTTATCATAACCAAACGTAACTGTAAATAAAGAAATTTAACATGAATCGGACTAGAAGAAAAATTGAACGCCCAAAGAATCCCTACTCAACCGCTAATATATTTTCGTGATGGAGTTTCTGGTGGATGAGAAAAATATTTCATATGGGTTTGCAAGGACCACTTGAAGAGGAAGAGGAGTTATATCAGCATCGTAAAGACTTAGATAGTGAACGAGTAATTACAAAGTTTTCGTAAAAACAAGACGGTGCAATAATCCGTTCGCGTAGTTTAACTGCTGTGTATTTTATTTTAGAAGATTTAGTGTTTCCAGCAGAGATCGTAGGCAAACGTATTTGTGCCAAATTGGATGGCACCCAAATTATAAAGGTGCATTTGGATAAGAATCTTACAACGACCATGAGCACAAAGTAAGTGTTAAATAACACTTATTTCATTAAATCTTTTTTGCACTTGTGTTTTTTGCTGTTTAAAATTAGTGGTCCAATGTTTCGTTTACGCTTCATATATTGGTAACATTCATCAAATTTAATGAGTCTAGCAATTAACTTGCAGCAATTAATTCAATATGTCTATATAATAATAATTCATTAAACAGAATAATATAACAATTTTGCATGATTTGCATAAGGAATTATTTGAAAATAATTTCTGTTGTACGAATACGAGAACGAGTACGCGTAATTTTACCGTACATTGTCTATAAAGTTTTGTTATAACATTGAAAAAATATTGTAAATTTTTTGCATTGCTATTTACTGTTATTCACGATTTAAAAAATTTTTGTTGCATTTATCATATTGAGTGGTGCTCATGTCGGTTATCTTCATTTCTTGAACTTTCGAATTTTACTACATTTTTGGTTTATCATACCAAACGTAACTGTAAATAAGAATTTAACATTGAATCGGACTAAGTAAAAATTTGAGCCCAGATCCATTACTCAACCGCTATATTTCGTGATGGTTTCTGGTGGTTGAGAAAAATTTTCATATGGGTTTGCAAGGGACCACTTGAGAGGAGAGTTATATTTCAGCATCGTAAATACTTAGATGGATGACGAGTAACTACTAAGTTTTCGTAAAACAAGACGGGCAATATCCTGTCGCGTAGTTTAACTGCGGTATTTTTTTAGAAGATTGTTTCAGCAGGATCGTAGGGAAACGTTATTTGTGCCAATTGGGATTGGCACCCAATTTAAAGTGATTTGGATAGATCTACAAACGACCAGAAGCAACAAAGTAAGTTAAATAACCTATTTCATTAATTTTTTTGCACTTGTGTTTTTTGCTGTTTAAAAATAGTGGTCCAATGTTTCGTTTACGCTTCATTGCTCAAACTGAATTGTAGCTCATTCATATATTGGTAACATTCATCAAATTTAATGAGTGTAGCAATTAACTTGCAGCAATTAATTCAATATGTCTAAATAATAATAATTGATTAAACAGAATAATATAACAATTTTGCATGATTTGCATAAGGAATTATTTGAAAATAATTTCTGTTGTACGAATACGAGAACGAGTACGCGTAATTACCGTACATTGTCTATAAAGTTTTGTTGTAACATTCAAAAAATATTGTAAATTTTTTGCATTGCTATTTACTGTTATTCACGATTTAAAAAATTTTTGTTGCATTTACCATATTGAGTGATGCTCGTGTCGGTTAAATTTAATATTGTATAAAAAAATATTCACTTGATCAAATTTGACACTCAATTTAACATAAAATTCACACATTTTCTTTATGGATTTGTTTTATTGATTTAAATTTCATAATAATAAATAATCTAATAAGGGCCCTCGTAAAGTTGTTCTAAGGGTGTCGGAACGCGATCGATGCGTAGGAATACATACTTGCTCTCTGACAGCTCGCTGGGTACTAAGACTGGTTGTTGACCGTGTCGCAGTCCAGGTTGAGTTCGTACATTACCTAAGTTTCTGCACAGTAACTTTACGAAGTCTGTTTCGCTTGGTTTGATTTTGACTTCTGTCAGCAACTGTACCGGGACTCTGAGAGGGTTGCCGTACTACAACAACAATGGGCTTGGCTGCTTCAGTTGACACTGTGTCTTGAAGTCCACTTAAAGCATGCTACCGAATATCATCAATTTTTTGCTGAAATAAAAGATGCCGAGCAATGACTCGTGAAGCGTGATGACATTTTAAATAGCAAATATTCTCAATCGGATTTTGGTCTTGATCAAGGTGAAGCTTTATTACGTGGTATGCAGGATTTACGTGAAGAATTGAATGCTTTTAGTGAAACTGTTGCTAATTTGACCCATCGGGCTCAAACAATTGTTCCAATATATAAAAGACGACAACCGGTAAATAATCAATGCTCTGTACAAGCAATATGTGCTTATAAGCAGCAAGGTCAACTACAAATTGAAAAGGGAGAAACTTGTATCTTGCTCGATAACTCTAGTCGAGTTAAATGGAGAATTCGTAATTCAATAGGACAAGAGGGTTCAATTCCTAGTGCTTGCTTATTAATGCCTCCTCCTGACCAAGAGGCAATTGATGCTGCTGAACGACTTAAACGGTTATTCGATCGTTTTGTGAGCTTATGGCAAAAAAAACATTTACGTCTACGTCAAAATATGATTTTTGCTACAATTCGTGTTGTCAAAGGATGGGACTTTGACCAATTTCTTGCAATGGGTCCAGAACAGGGTACAGCGATACGGCATGCACTCAATGATGACGCAGATAAACTTTTAAGTGAGGGTGATCCAAATGATCCACAATTAAGACGTTTACGCCGTGAAATGGATGAAGTAAATCGTTTATTTGACGAATTTGAAAAACGCGCTAGAGCTGAAGGTAAATTAATTTAATTAAATTAGTTTATTTTTATTTTTTTCGTAGGCGGGGGTATATTCACCAATTATAAAAACATTTTATCAAATAACTGTCATACGATCTTAATTTCAATTAAATTTAAGTGTAAATTTTTTACTTGATGTTAGATTGAATACATAAATTTGTTTAGTACGAAAATAGTATTCTCTTCAGTAGTGTCTTATTAAAACTATTTCTGTATCGTTTGTGATGAAGAAATTATTTGCCAGCCGTAGAACTCGTGGTACTAAATAAATAATTTTAGCTTAAATTTAATTTTACAGATTTAAAACGTATTCAAATATTTTATTATACTTTTTAGAGGAAAGCAAACAAGTTAGCCGAATCTTCACAGAAGAATGCATTGCAATCAAAGGAAAACTTGAGGACATATTAATCTCAATTCTCGCTTTGGAAATTTACTTTGCTTCATTTCAAGAAGCGCCAAACGAAAATGGATGTGTGTATGCGAGAGTTGTCTGACTACGAGAGAAGGAATAGAGAAAGGGCGAAAAACAATATATTCGCTAATAAATTAATTTATAAAAAAATTGTAATTTATATTACAAATTTTTTTTAAACAATTATAATAAACTAAATATATATAAGCTTATAATATATGTTTGCCCCTTAACAAATATATAACAAAAAATATTTTATGCAAATAAATTTTGCGCGGCAGTTTTTTGCACTTGTCATTTTACTCTTATTCGTATGTGAATTTGATCAAAAATCATTTGCTCTGCTCTCTCACTGCAAGCAAACGGTTCAGTTTCTGTTATTTCTTCTTTCTCTATTTAACAACTTTTTTATATAGTTTTTCGATTTTCGTTTTTGCTGTTGTTTGTTTGCACAGAGTAGAACATAAATATTTTAGGCGGCCACCGTCTTGGAAGTCAAGTTATTTGTTTTTGAGGCCGTACACTACACACTACACACATATGGTGTGTTTGTTAGTTTGTTTAATTTGTTGTGCAAGCGATGTTTGCAAATTTTCTTTTTATCTTCCCTTTCTGTTAGCAGAAGTAGCCAATTTCCTCAAAGAATTACTATTTTGAATCTTAAATTATTATTTGTTAATTTCAGAGCTACCTCAAACAAAATAAATCAAAACTTATATGCTTTGTTAACTAAAAGCCTGCAGTAAATTATTGAAATCCAATGCATTTAAAAATGTACGCATGTACATGTAAATGAACTGCATGTAAAACAAAATTTTTGAACGTGCAGCCAAAAATTGCGACATCAGAAGCACATTACCCTATACGATATCTAGATATACTATAAAATATTATTATATATTTACATAGCTTCCTTAGCAAAAAAAAAAAAAATTGATTTTAGAATGACTTTAAAAACTTTATCTAAAGTACATACATATATATTTGATGCATGAATCAAACTTTTAATAAAATTATTTGCGAATTAATTTAAGGATTAAGTTTGCAGAAAAAAAGATTTTTTTTTTCTTAATAAATT